GTACTAGAGAAGCCTCAAGAACACAAAAGTATAATGACAAATCTGTCAACTTTTGTTAATTGGTCAGGAGACTTTTGTGTTATGAAATCTGATGAAGTATTATTTATGTAATATGGATAAGAAGATGGGGAAAGTAATCATCATGATTTGGCCATTCTCGCAAAAGATTAACAAGCTTTAGAAATATTTGGAAGCATTAAGCTGCTTACTGCCACTCAATGGATCAACAAACTTTCTCCTCTTCCTTGTCAGACTTCGTTTATAAACCTAAAAAGAAAGAGAAAAATATAAATCCGTACAAACTATGGGATCTATAAGACTTCATTTATTCTCCTGGCTCACTCGTCTTTTAAACACAAATCTACTTGACTATTGGATATATTATGTTCGAAAATATTTATGTGTATGAGGTAAAGAAAAATAGACCAAAAGAATAGTTTTATATCATTAATAATTGAAAAAGTCCGATTACCTATTTTGGATTTGGTTCACAATAAAAAAAACTTAGAATTTTAATTATTTTGATGTTAAATCTGTTATTTGTTAACCCTAATCAATTTGATATATTTTAATCATCTTATTTTTCTGACTTTGTCTTGCCAGAGGAAGTAATATAAGTGTCTACTGCGTTGAAGAAAAGAAAAATAAGAAACGGAGTCACAGAAATGATTATTGAGAAAAGGTGAGCGAATGATGGAAGATAACTATTAAAATATTATATTTCTCTCCATACAATTAATTATATGATGTGAATAATTCTTGAACAAAATATTTTGTGTCATACACAATTATTTAAGGATAGCTCTTTTATCAAGGCGTCCCATTCATTTTTTATTTTCTTTCATATATATATATATATATATATATATATTTTTCAATGAACATAATTAATTAAATTTGTTTTCCTGCGACCTCTTCTTAAGGCATTGCACATTTTACGTCGGCAATTTCGTATTGACAAATCTCATTTCTTAAGCTTATCATTACCCAAAGAAAGTCTTGACCAGGAAAAAATAACAATAATACAAATCCTGCACACTATTTCTCTTCCATGTATAAATAATCTCGCTCAAGGAGTTCATTCGTGACTCCTAATCATCGACACATTACAATCCTCTGCAGGGCTCATCTCATACTAATTCCCAACCGTGTTAAAGCTGCTCATATGAACGGAAACGCAAATTAGTTTCTTAATTAAGGCAAAGGAAGCAGCAACTAATCATAATTTCTGTATCACAAGCGTAATTAGGAAAAAAATCAAATAGTAACTTCTTTTCATCAAAATCGTACAAATAATTATCCCATCTTTTCATACAATTTTGTAAAAATATTCTTTTTCAGCATGAAATGGGATTTCATGCCAACTGATATGGGTGGCATAGAGGAGATGTTGCTGCATGAGATTGAACAGGAGACGATGTAGCATTTTAATTGTCTTCCGACTGTCATGTGGATCTGCACTTTAAATTATAAGTGAGCCACACAATGCTTACAATTCCTGGGAAAATAAATGGAATATATTAGCTTATAACTTCGGCATTCCAAAGTTTGTGAGAGTTGTTGCTTTTCTTTTCTTTTTCCCTTTAACTTTTTCATAGTAGAAGCAACCTATTAATTCGACATGCTAAGGCCGAGGACAGGATAAAGTTGGTCGATCCATTGAGTGGGATGGAAGCAGCATATATTCTCTAAAGTTTGTTTCGAGTTAATACCTGGCTAAATGCCAATTGATGATGATATGCTAATATAGTCTATAACACAAAGCAGCAACTGATATATTTATATGACTATATTATGAATTATGTGAATTTGGACTTCCCTAGCTAGCTAGTGCACCTAACTTCTTTGTAATCTACCATTATAAATACGTACATAACAAAAATTTAAGATATGAATTGTCTATTATTAGCAGGTGTCCTTACCGTCTTCCCCTTGTGCTTCGTCAATCATTTCTTGAACTCCCTTTCCCGCACACTGATAATTTACCCTTTGGGATCCACCTGCGCGGTCTTTTGGTAGACAAAAGTGTGGCTTAGTATGTTGGAAGTTTCCTTGGGTGGCCCCTCGCACAAGAAAGCTATCAACTGTATAAATAAAGAGCTCAGGAGGCAATGTATCGATGCCTTCACCATCCCCGGAGACCGCAGCCCGCCCCCCCCCCCCCACCTCATATGCAAACCCAGAGTAAAAGGTATTAGCTTTTAGAACCTATCTCTTTTGTATCACATCTCTATCTTAGCTTTTTCTCTATATGCAAACATTTCTCATTTGCTTAATGTTGTTTTAATCAGCATTTTAGTGTACTTTTCTATTGTAAGCATAAAAAAAAACTATTATGTGGAATAATGTCATATCAAAATCGAAATCAAATAAACCAAATATTAGATTTATGTATCTTTCAATGTGACGATAGAATACCTTAGTCTGACCTAATAATTGACCATAGTTCGAAACAATAATAGCATTGATCTATAACAAGGAAACTAGATTCTCATTTTCTTCTCTTCCTATTTATTGTTAATCAATGAGTAGGGATTAATAGGAAAACGAGAATAGATCTATGATTATAATTTAATCACTATGAGATCACATATATATATATATATATAGGCGACAATAGAGAGTTTAAGAAAGGTAATTAGGAGAGTTCTTCCTATTAACATCATCTCCTAAAAAATCATAACTTAAGTGAACTTCTCTTTGTCCAATTAACTAGTAAGATATAAAATAATAGGGTCCAAAATTAAAATAAATAAACTAAAATTTATTTAAGATAATTTTACCTAATTTGATTTTGAAATTTTGAAAGGCACCTTATACTTACACATAAACTTTATATAAAATAGACTAATAAATCTAATAAATATAATAATACTATATTAAGTCCAACTACCAATGTGAATCATAGTGGTTATACATTATCAATGTTATACTCTCTTTTTTTGTACCATAATACTGTTAATCTTTCCTAATGTAGTCCATAATGATCTTTATAATTTATCTTATCAAGATAATTCTAATATCATACTTAACCATAATATACATATATGTAAATATAGAACAATAGAAACAAATAATTTTAAGTAAGTAAAAAAAAAAATCAATAATAATATCCATTGAAACATGTATCATCGTATCTTTTATATGTTGCTCAACTGATTTATTTGATCAATTATGCTTCAATATTTTTTATTATTACCTACTCCTTAAGTAGTATCCAAAATATTATAAAACCTTTCTTGTTTTAATCTAGTTCTTTAAATACATATATTAGTAAGCTTATTTATGTTTTATTAATTTTTAATTTTATTATAATAAATTTTAAATAAACTAAGCAAAGAAGAAATAGAATTAAGCATAAATTATATAAGAAATGACAACTACATTTATGCCTAATATTCTTGAGCTTTGTAGTTTTATCGGTCATAATGAAGATATAATCTTGAATTTCTTAAATATTATCATATAGAGCTATAGTCAGTCCTTTCATTAAAATATTAACTAATAATTTATAAATAAATTTAAAATTAATCTTTAAATATTTCAATATGCTAATTGTAGATGATAATAAAGTCTAAATATTATTAGTAGTTGTCATAAAATTGAGCCTATTAGACCATATCCAATTATCTATTTTAATTATTTAGTCTATAAAACTTTTAGTAGTTAAGTTTGTAATCCTTTTAATAAGTTTGATCAAAATATATAACACCTAATGTAAATTACATATGCTCAAGTCATTTAAAATAATTTGATCTAGAGATTATAGGGACATCAAATGCATGAGAATGCAAAAAGGGAAGTACCATGGTAACAAATGAAAAAAATAATTTAATATTTTAAATTTTCAAAAACATGATGAATTATTAATATAATCTCAAATTCACTTTTGGGTGAAATATTAACATATGTAATGTTCACTTAAATTTTATAATGATGGAGGACTAATATTATTTTTGTGAAACAATATTATTATCTTTGGGTATACAACTTTAAACTACAAAGATATCTAAAATAATATTATCCTACCTATCACATAATTATTTAAAATAAATTCATCTTTAATTTTATATAAATCTCTTGATTATGTATTATTATAAATAATATTATTTTTAATACCATATAAGACTAATTATTTGATGTAATTTTTATTAATCTGGGCCACTTTAATGATGGTAAGACTAATACATAAATATAAATTATATTTTAAATATCCTGTAAATAATAAAATATTTATTATAATTTATACGCCATAAATCTATCATCGTTACTTTGGTAGTTATAAGTCAATAAAACTCAAGAATATAAGTTACAAATAATATTATCTTCTTTAACTAAATTATGTATAAACTATTCAATAAAAAATAATTATAATAAGTTTTGAATATAAACTTTAATCAGCATAATAAAACAAAAACTCAATAAAATAAAATTCATGTATTCATGTGAAAATAACATTATTTCAAAACAACAAATGCTTGTAAATTACCACATGAATATCAAAAAGAAAAAATTTAAGTACCATAAGCAACAAAAATTTTACTAATATGTCATATGAGAAAACTATAAAAAAATCTAAAATTTATATTTTTTAAATTATATATATAACCTTACACTAGGCCAATAAACACTATTTAATTGGGTAACATAGGTTGACCCACAACTAATTGGGTAGTTTAAAATTGGACCACCCAAATTAGACTCAATAACTACTCCAATCAATCACAATAATTAAAATTGTGCATGGCTAGTCCAAATAGGGTTCAGTCAAAATTAGGGTTGATCACGATCAAAATTTAGATTCGATCAAAATTAGAGCTTCAAATCATAAGTAAAATCTATATTTGACTTAGGTCAATATAAAGCATTGATCAAGATAAAAATTGGATCAAAAATAGATTTTGACTTAGGTCAAAATTAAAGTCACGTCAAAATCATATTTGGGGCAAGATTTTCTTAAGCTTGAGTTTGACCAAAATCCTCTAACCTACAAACCTTGACTACCCCGTGCTACCTCCACTCAACACACTTGCACTCACGTCCATCGCTAGGACACTAGGTGGCGCAATTTGACCAGCCCCCCCTTTTTTTTTTGCCATGATCAACTCCACCATTGCTTGTACCCAGGCGACCGTTAGCAACATGGCCTATGGTGTTGCATTGCGATGTTCGATGTCGCACTGTCACTTGTAGCCCATAGGCCTCATCATCGAATTGACAGTCTTGTGGTTGCCAGCAGCGCCAATGTTTGTCGCTGACACTACTATTAATGTGGTGCTTATCGACGCCAAGTCGCAATCGTGATTCCGACTTGCGGTTGGCAACCCCTACGTGCGAGATGTTTCATTGTGACTTCCTTGTTGTGGCACTTTTGCTACGTGGACACTAGTTGCAACCCGCGACCAATATGACCACTTATTAGCGGTCACCTACTTACCGCAGAACCCTTGACATCGCAGTGCTCCTATGCCATCACACATAGCAACGTCGCATAGTATTGTTTGTCGCCAAAAGCTCCTAACATTCGTGGATACTTTCTATAGGTACAATCAGACTAAAATGACACAAGACAAAAATATATTACCTTCGTTATTGACAAAGGCCTATGCTATTATAAAATCATATCATTTGGACTCGAGAATATTGAGAAAATATACCTAATAAGATATTCCAACATCAAAGAGGTCTATACGAAATGTTAGTAAAGAGTCACATCACAAATACTCACCTATCCAACCTAAGAGAAACATTTATCATCATTAAGAAATTCTAGATATGACGAAATCTGGCTAAGTGCATATTTATTATAAGTTTAAGAAAATTCAAAGAAAGTCTAGCCATTATCAATATAAGGTCTTTGGATTTAATCAAAAAGGTTCAATAGCTGATAAATTGAATTATTGTGCTTAGTCAGTTCTTGTCCTGAACCGGTGATCAATATTTATCATTCTTTAAAATTCTAAATGATTTTCGATAGACTGAGCAATGTCAAGGCATTTGATCGGCTCAAGACCTATCTGGCAGCTCTACCTCAACTTTTCAGTCCCCACCTAGGAGAAGACCTATACCTATATCTATTTGTAATGCTAGTAGCCAGAAGACCTATACCTTTATCTATTTGTAATGCTAGTAGCCATAAGTTAGTGTTGATTCGAGAGGAAGACCTATATATTGCACCAATCATGTACTTCAAGATGCTAAAACCTGATATCTCAATTTTGAAAAACTACCCTATAGGCTTATTTTAGTAACCAAGAAGCTCTGCCACTACTAAACTCATCATATTATTATCATGATATTCCAACCGATGCTCCAAATCTTTTTCAAACCTAATATTATTAAGAGGCTTCTTAAATGGGTAGTAAAGCTTAGCAAGTTTAAGCTTTGGATCTGGTTTGTGATTCTACCAGTTAAGAATCATTATTAAGGCTTAAGCCCTTATTAATTAGATCAACAATATATATGAGGCCTGTGATTCTACCATGGTTCTATATCTTACAGAACTAAAACAGGTGATAGTTGACATCCCGATGTTTAGCATCAGGTAAATCCCAAAAGGGACAACATAGCAATTGATGCACTCTCCTGACCACCCACTAAGGATTGCTTTGAAGCAACAAAAGGGATCATCACAAAGATTTTAACTCAAATAAGTGTTTACAAGGGTCAAGTAACAATCACATATGTAGAAATAACTTAGATGGGGAACATTATGAAATATCTTAAAACTAGAGTTCTCACCGATGAATCGATCGAAGCAAAAAGGGTGCATAGACAATAAGCATGGTATTGTATTTTTGATGTTGTTCTCTTCATACGATCCTTGTAATATCCCCTCCTATATTGTCTCTATCTTACTAAAGCATCTTGTTTATTATCTTAGGTCCATTACGGTGTATGCAGAGAATACATTGGTGCAAGGACTCTAGCATTCAAGGTTTTATGACCGGGTATTATTGATTGACCCTTAGGAAAGATGTCGATGAGTACATTTGATGTTATGATAAATATTAATGCAATGCTTGAGTCCAAAGATTACCTGTGGTAGAACTAACCACGATTGATGCAGCTTAGCTTTTTGTATAGTGGGGGTTGGATATTTTTGAGCTTTTTCCACCTATCATAGGCCAAAGAAAATATCTGGTAGTTAGGGTATATTACTTCACTAAAAATGAGTAGAGGACAAGCCTTTGGCATCGATTTCAGAAGGGTAGGTTGAGTTGTTCATCCGAAGGAACATCATTTCTCAGTTTAGAGTTACGTGGACATAAATAACTAATGATGGAACACAATTCAATAATTCTAAGTTCAAAAAAAATTTATGACTACTTCAGAATTCATTTAAGATTTAACTTGGTGGCTCACCCATGCGCCAATAGCTAGGCTGAGGTCACCAATCTAACTATACTTAGAGCTTAAAGAAAAGACTCTCTAAAACCAAACAAATATGGATGGATAAACTTTTGAGTATTTTATAGAGCTACCAAACTCTAACCGGAGTTTATACTAAAGAATCACCTTTCTACTTAGCCTGTGGGACTGATGATATGCTTCCGACTGAACTAATTTTGCCAACCACTCATACCCAACATTTTTCTCAAGAAGAGTTAGAGGTTGGGATCAGAGTGAATATGAACCTAATTGATGAAGTTAGGATTTGATCATACCTCAAAATCTTAGCTTATAAGAGGATGGTTGCTAAGACCTTCAATGCTAAAGTTCGCCCTTATTGACTAAAAAATGAAGACTTAGTTTTGAGGAAAGTTGAAGTTAGCAACCAAACTCATACAAAGAGTAGGTTGGCATCAACATGGAAAGTACTATATTGAATCATGAAAAAAGTTCAACTTAGAACTTACTGACTCTAGACTCTCAGTGGGTCGAACCTTCCAAGAACTTGACATCATCTTCGGGAGTCCTTATATTTCAAAATGGATTTCCTGACTAAAAAATAAAAGATAAAAATGAAAGACAAAATAAAAAGAAGATAGGCCAACCTGATCACCCTTCTAAAATTTTAACAACTTCATCCTCGGGGATTAGGTCAGGAGCTGGTGTGTCGATCGACTATATGTGTTCCTCAATAGTTGTATCTAGGGTCGACCTCTTGACTTTAATCGGAGCCCCCTTCGAGGATTTTTTTACTATTAGCATCCTCTCAACTTTGTTACTAGCCTTAGTCTCTCCTTCTTTAGCATATGCTATTATCTCACTTCAATTATTGATATCATCTGATCCAACCATGATAACTTTATTGTTGATGGGACGATCGATAGTAAAATCATTTGAAAGGACAAGCACGAGTGGCTCATAATTCAAAGATTCCAAAAAAAATACTATAAACAGAAATAACATGTAAGAAGATTAAATCAAGCTTCTTCAAGGCTTTCTATAATATTTTCTACGAAGTTTAATTTGGGGGAATATGTTGGAATATTAAATTAAACTTTGTGACTAGATATGATTTTGGTTTAGGAGTCTTAGTCAAAATAAGAATTATTACCAAAATCAAAGTTTTGAGTTTATCTTTAAATAAAGGACTTGTGTAGTAGTACTTTAGGAGTACAATTGGGAGAAGAGACGAAGAGGGGTTTGTGAGATTATAAGTTACTCTGTTTAATGTGAGTTTCTAATTGGCATATCTTCTTTATTCACCTGTATCGTCTCTCAATTATGAATTCTTGATTTCGATCACCTTTTTTGAGTCTTTCAACATGGTATCATAACTTTTTGGTTTCTAACAGATCAGAGTTGGGAAACTACACTAAAATATGTTGTACTTAGACTTCAAAAGGTTAGAACTCAATGCATCGAATGTTGTACTTAGACTTGCAAACTACACTAAAATATGTTCCTTTAGTTCCATCTTTTTTTCTTTTTTTGAGGCCACAGGACATTGAATATGTAAGTGGCTTATATATCCAAGTTACGTTTAGCAATATGAATCACTTTGTCTCTGTTCTTTTCAAAGAGTAAGAGTTGAAAACGAGATTCCATAATCTTACTTTCAAATCTTTAGTCAACTCACTTCACGCTTTGGCGCAAAAACACAGTCATGTGTGACGCAGGGATGAAAGTTGAGATAGATGTGGATAAGGCATGGATGGACACCTTGAGGAGGAAGGTGGAAGAGGCAAAATGGGACCAGTGGCGCACCGAACAGGCAAGAATCTTTAAAGTCCCAGGAGTCTTGCAGGAGGCCGAACCCAGGGCCTACAAGCCAAGAATCGTCTCCCTCGGCCCATACCACCATGGCAAATCTGAACTGCAACCCATGGAGGAGTTAAAATGGAACTACCTCAGGAGATTCGTTCGCCGACAACCCCAGAAGAAACTGGAGGATTACCTCAACGAGACTCGAGAGTTGGTAAACCGATCACGTCGTTTCTACTTTGGCGACAAAGTGAACCCGAATGAAAGCTCCATGATAATGAGTGACAATAAATTCGTAGAAATGATGCTGCTCGACGGTTCTTTTGTGATTGAGATCATGATATCCTGGGTAAAGGGTGTGAGTGAACGCAAAGTCGGACAGAATGCGATCAAGAATACAATATGGTCGCCGTTAGCAGTAGCGCAAGACATGTTGCTGCTGGAAAACCAGCTCCCTTTCTTTCTCCTCGATTGTTTACATGACACTGCTTTTCCTGAAGATGCTGGCGGCCTAACAGAGCTGACACAAGAATTTCTACGCATGTTCATCATGTTCATGAACGACAACGAGAGAGTCCCCCGCCATGGTTTCCATCATATTCTTCATCTATGTCATTTTTGCATTGTCGCAGCAAAGAAGCCATATAACAGCAAAACCCAGCCATCATGGAGCCTCATGTTTGAAGGAATGCAGAAGGAGCGGATGAACATGTTAAGCTTTTTTCGTGACAACCCGGTTCCGGTCGAACAACCAGCTTCCATGATACCATGGATTCCAAGCGCGACACAGCTCAAGGTGGCGGGAATCCAGTTCAAGATGAAGACACGGGCCAAGAGCTTCCTGGACATCACATTCCAGAATGGAAAGCTGGAGATCCCTCAGCTTGTGGTCGATGACCAAACCAACGTGCTGTTCAAGAACCTCATAGCCTTCGAGCAGTGCTCCCAGGACGCTGGAACGCATCTTGCGGCCTACGCGTCACTCATGGATTCAATCATCAATACTGCTGCCGACGTCGAATTGCTCCAGAAAGATCAAATCATCATCAACACATCGGGCGACAACACCGAAGTCGCCAATTTCTTCAACAAGCTTTGCAAAGATGTGCTGATCAAAGACGAGGACTATCTTACAAGCATCTACAGAGATGTCAATAAGCACCGCGGCATCAAATATCACATATGGTGGCGAACTCTACATCGTGATTACTTCAAGAACCCGTGGACGATCATCTGGTTGTGTGCAGCCATTTTCGCCTTCATTCTCACCATTACGCAGACCGTGTATACGGTCCTGAGCTATATTCGACCACCTAAATAATCTCCTCGCCTACTTGGTACCATCATATGTTTCTTCTCGTCGTCACTCTTCCATGATCTCATCTCTTCAAACTATTATCAATTGTTGGAATTAAACTAATCAATTTTTCCAAAGCATCATGATGTTTATTGTATCGAGAGATAACACATTAAAGATCCTATTATAAAAGAATGAACCAAATTGATTATTGATTCTTAAAACAAGAAAAGAGCCTTAGAAAAAAAAAAGATCCAAATTAAATATAATAAATATAATGTATTCAAAGGGACTAAATAAACTCAATGTGTTAGGTCATAAAAGATAGAGTTTTGAAGTTGTAGTGAATTTCCTTTGAGTGAAACAAACAAAGAATCCTTTGAGTGATAATTCTATCTCTTCTTTTTATCTATTTCAATATCAATAACCACATAATAGATTCTCATCATGGAATCATTGTTGTTTTTGTTTCCTCAATGAAAGGTAGGGCTTGTTTTTATTGCATTTGATAGTCATATATTGCCTAAACAATCTCATTTAAAGATTAATAATGAAAAATTAATGTACGGCTTGTTTTTTTGGGGTTGTATATTGTCATTTGTCTTATGATCCTGTTGAAAAATGTTCATGTAGCATTGATAGGAATGAGATAAAGATTAATAATCTGGATAGATTATAAGCAGGTTAAACAAATATTTATGTTAAAAATTGATTCATAGATTGTAATACCCTAAAGGTTTTTCTTGTAAGAATACAAGACCATAACCAGAATAAATAACTTCAACAGAATAATTATTATATAATTCAATCCAAAATTCAAACCACCCACAGGGCATTTCACTAAATTCAACAACTCTTTTATAATTCATAATATATACATATATATACATATACATGTATATACATATATATGTATATACATACATATATATATATATATATATACATATACATATATATATATATATACATATACATATATATATACATATATATATATACATATACATATACATATACATATATATACAT